CATTAAATTACATGTCACTTGTTAGACGCTCTTATCCAAAGCGACTTACATACTCAATACTGTGGGCAATCCCCACAGGAGCAATTTGGGGTGAAGTGTCTCAGGGACACAACGACATGCTGACTGCAGTGGGGTTTGAACCTTGACCCCCTGATCCCAACACCAACGCAAGAGAAATCTGGCTAAAGACACATATGAGCTATTCATGTCAAGGGGTTTTATACATTGAAGTGAAATTCAAATAAACATAGTATTGTTGTGTATATGGGCTGGCAACCAAATAATGAATTGACTTGTATGGACTCAGCAGGGATAACATTCAGAGACCCATAATGCTATATCATTCATTATATTTTTTAATGATCACCTGGTGCCTGAATTGTTTTATTTATTTACATAAATAAAGACATTTCAACCATCAATCAGGTGAATGTTAATGCTCTAAAAATGTCCAAACCCATCACTTCATGCTAAAAGGAAACCTACGCCCTCGGTTAAGACTGACTTTGTATTTGTGTTATGTATTTTATTTCGTCAGTCTATGTTTAGCTCTCTCAGTGACAGGCAATATGTCTGAAGTGGTGAAAGCAGTGGACTTTCTCTGTTTGTATTGTTTTAAATAGTTATATTTGTTTTTATTGTCTCCTTTCTTCACAGGCAAAATTCATAACTCCTACTAATTACAAAGATGTCGTAGAGGAGAGGTTCATCGCTAAAATGTGTGCTTATCCAATATGTTCGATTAAACTGGGCAAGGTAAGAGCCGTTCACCTCAGTCTTTACAATCCCACGAGCATTAAACGTCATTGTGTGTCGTGTTCCAAACTGACTCTGCTCATTTATAGATCCCAACTCAAAGGTATCAAATATCGACAAAGACCAATAAGGTGTACGACATCACAGAGCGTAAGGTAAGGGCTGCTTCATGGATTCAATATTCAAATATCCTAAACATTTCATTTGGAAAGGAACTGTTAAGAAACTGTTCTTTTTGCACCCCTCTCTTGTGATCAGTGTTATTGCAGTAACTTCTGCTACAAAGCCTCCAAAGAGTTTGAGCTACAGATATCCACTTCACCTCTGTGGCTCAGGCCGCACGAGACGTAAGTGTACTCTTCTATTCATTGATGATTCATTATAATAATCATCTTGTACATACTAAAACATCATGACTGTTTTTAATCACTGACAGTCCTCCAGAAATTAAATTGATGAAGAAAGGAGATGGGTATGTATTTGATTAAATATACTATAGAAACAACTTATATTACATATTTCTTAAGGTGTATAATCCCACATCTTTCAAACAATGTTTAGACCTAATTCTGTTATTTTATTACTATTAATATATTATATGAAGTATTTGATTTGATTTAAGCTGAGCAGATGTTTGCAGCAGCCAAACAATGTCAGGAAAACATAGATCTTTCATTTTAGACTTCTTTATTCAGCCTTATTCAACGTACTAAACATCTCCACCTTAAATAAGAGAGAAACAAGCTCAGCAAACATTTCTCATTAGCTCGCAGACCCTCCATCCTATATCCACCTACTAGTAATCAAAAAGCACAGCTTTTTTCATTGAATGAAGAACAAAATAATCCTTTCTGGGAGAAGCTGACTGAACTGAAAAACTCCCATGATGCTAAGCTATTTCACAACACCACCAAACTCTGTGTTTTTAGATTGAGCGACCCATATTGACAAAGAATGCAATATTATGCATTTTTAGTTTTTACATGAAAATATTTGAAACATATCTCAATAGTTTAGAGCAGATTCGACTAACTAATAGACACATTTTGTTTCATTTTCTGAATGTAATATAAGTCTAATAATTAATTCTTACCTATGTCTGTCCAGCGGGAGTTCTGGTGAGGAGGTGAGGCTGAAGGTAGAGCGTCTGACAGAGGAAGACATTGAAAATTCTGCCCCCCCTGAGGAGCCCCTTAGCTCTGAGCAGGGTCCTTCAGACGGCCTCCCCTACAGTGAGAGCAGCGACACCGAACAGGAGCAGGACTTTGTCTCCAGCGTGGTGTCCCAGAGGCAGGGACCCAGGGTGCACTGGGGCGACCTGCCTAAACGCACAGATGAAGACCACAAAGAAGATGAAGAGAGGGAGAGGAGAAAGAAACGGGAGGGGAAAATAAAACAGGAATCACGAGCAGAAGTTGAAACTGATGGTAAAAAACAGCCGTCATCTTTACGCACAGACACACCTCATGTAGAGCAGGCACCAGAGGAAGTAGCCAGTGTGGAAGAGGCTATAGCTAAGCTGAATTTATACAACTTATCTGAGACTCACGCTGCTCCTCCACCTGTTCACTCAACAACGAAAGCACAACATACAAATCTTTTTGCTTCTCTACCTTGTGAAGACTCAAACAGCTCAACAGAAGGCAAACCCCTCCCCTTTTCCACCCTGATCAAGAGTAATCATGATGGTACAGCATCGAACATCCAGCCAGGCCTCAACATCACCCAGGTGGGGATGAGCAAGAGAGGTGCTGCCGGGCTTCGAGACCTCTTTAAAAACCACGCTGCTGCTGCTGCTGCTGCTGCTGCTGCTGCTGCTGCTGCTGCCCAACCCGACTCCATCAGGCTCAACCTGCTGGAGAGCCTGAGGAGAACGCTGAAGGAGTGGGGCACCGAGGAGACGCTGAAGTTCCTGTACGGCACTGAACACTCACACAGCGCAACTTTCCATGGTGTAAAAGAAGTAGAAGAGGATAAAGAGGAGGAGCTGGACGAAGACGACCTTGAGGATGAGGATGATGATGGGGGGCAGGAGAGACCGTCTGCTGCAGCTCCAGACTACCAGGCGCTGAGGCAGGAGACCCAGCAGGCGGAGATCAGAGTCAGGGAGTTCTATAAAGGCAGCCGGACTCTACCTGAGAAGAAGGAGGAGCAGGAAGGAAACAAGGTGAGGGAAGGCGAGAGGAGGGGTGTTAATGAAGGGTGTTGTTGTGAGAGTCAGTGGCCACATGAAGGCACTGTATGAAACATCTTTGATACTGAAATCACTATGTAACACTTGCGCTTCTATTGGCTAGAGCAGGGGTTCCCAAATTTGTCAGCCCGCGACCCCCAAAATAACTGTGCCAGAGACTGGCGACCCCCCGCCACGTGAATTGTCAACGGGGGGAGACATCCGCCCCTGAAAAAGGTCTATGCACACATTATTATTAATAATAGTAATACAAATAACAGTGTTTCCCATACATCGACATACAAACCCCACAGATCCTTAACGTCAACCGTGTGTCTCACTCATTAAGGCGAGAACGGGCATGGCAAAAAACACAGTTTTTCATTATTTTATTCTATTTTGATTCCTAACAGTGTTTTCTTCAGCTTTGTGATCAGGAATACTGTACAAAATACCACATTTAGGTGTTTATTTTACTA